GAAAAGTTTCTTTCCATAGTACTTCAGTTGAATACATCTAACAGTTTTTTTTACAATAGAGATCTATTTAAATAACTTGAACTGATTCTTGTGGATTTTGTTATTTCACCTCTGAAGTCTAACTGAAGATTAACTTCAAACAAGTTGTAATTAACAGAATACACATGGCTAATTAATCAAACACAGCTATGTAATTTGATGCACTTACATGTATACAAGGCTTTTAATCTGAAAAGTGGGAAAGGAAATTAACATAGACACAAGGAAAGGAAGTAGGTGCAACACCATACAAAGAGAGGATTACTGACTCAAATAGAGTTATTGCCCTTACGATAAGACACTTGAGCACTGAACCAGTGCTTTGTAATTCTGAGTCTTACTCCTACTGTAGGAAAATTATGAGTCTGGTTCCTAGTGGAGATACAAGGGGAGGTGGGGGGGATTCCAAATCTTACTCGTACCGGAGACACCTGAGTAAAAATTCCAAGTCTTACTCCTAATGGAGACATGTTTGTAAAAATTCCAAGTCTTACTTGTAACGAAGACTCATGGGGGAATATTGTACGTCAGACTCTAAACAGAAACATGAGGAAGGCTACCTCAATACCATTTAGAAGAGAACAGTTGTTGTCAATGGTGGTTTGAAGTTTTCAAGAAAGTGTTTTCAGAATTTATGGATTGCTTGGAGAGATGGGAGGACTATGAACTTGGACAGGAATATCAAAAAAATCTATTGAAATCTTCCTGCAAATTAATTAGACAGTCATTTTGCAGCTTGCTTAGATGATTGAATTTTAATGGTCCTCAACTATTTTAAAGGAATGTATCCATGAACATTTTACCATTTGAAAAAAAATAATCCTCTGTATTCTGGTCCCTTCTACATCCCTTCACATAAAATATCCCCTCCTGTTATCAGATGTCTTGGCCCTCCCTGTGCTGGATCTTAATTACTGCAGTCTCCATGGAATCCCTTACATTGATCCAGAGTAATGCTTAGTCATGGTGAGATAGCACCACCCCCTATCTCCTCCATATCATCATCTTCCTCCAAGGCATCCCTCTTCCCAATTTTCTGTCTTGAACTCCAATATCCCCTCCTCCCACCTTTTATCCTTGAACCCATTTCTCTGCCCCTCCAAAACAACCATTCACCAGTGCCTCAATCACTTAAACCTCATTTTTGTCCCCTACCCCCTTTCAACAAAACTCCTCTCCCTCTCTCCTCCATCCTTACTGAATTCGTTGTCTATCCCTGAAACCCTAACCCCCTCCTCCCCCATCTCCCAACCTTCATGACTCAAACCTCATTTTCTGTTCTATTTATTTAATTATTTTGGGTTTGTAATTGGAACACTTGGCCAAAAATCAATTTTATCTGTATAATAATCAATGCAATCTTTGATACTTGATTAATAATTAATTACTCCTGGTCAGGAATGTCAGAGAATGTGAAATATTCTAGATATGGTAAAGGAATCCACACCAGATGTGTCAACACTGGGAGACATTAAAACCACCATTACACTCTGTAGGATTCCATGTTCATTAAAAAGAAAACAAATTCATTTGGAAAAATTTCTGTCACAGAAATTTTGATATTCATTTGAATTTGATGAACATTTGGACTTCTACAATTCTGCTCAATTTGTCATCAGATCACAATTTTTAAGTAATGAAGATTTGACTCAATTTCATCGCAAACACATAGACAAAGGGAAATCAAAATGAGGATACAATATATCACAGGTTACCTTGACCTCAATCTTCACCTTGGCCTATTTATAAAGGTTCCATAAGGATTCAATACACTAGCTTATTCTGTAACACAGTCTTGCCTTACTAGATTGTATGTTCTAAATTAACCTTAATTAATTCATTAATTTTTAATGATCTTGTCATGGCCTGATTTAAGTATAAACTTGACTTTTTCGCTTTGAGTCTTTTTTTTCAGAGCATCTACCACATTCCTAACCAGACTTAGTAGAACTAGTACATTTAGTTGTGTTGATAATACATCTGTCAGCGTCTGTTGTGTAGTTAGTAAGTGCTGGACTTCTTCATCACCATGACTACCGACCTACACAAATGGGGGTGCCTTGGTACAGTGTCAGGTGATAATAGTAATCAAACACCTTCTGTCTCACAATAGCCATTTCTTTTCACTTTTAAACTAATTTTCGTTTTCAACCAAATTTGAAATATACATTTTTTTTTTCTTTATTTGATCTGTCTTTTGCCAGCCAAGTTGAAATAAAAGACACAAAAAATATTTTCATCAAGCATCGAAGAAACATTAGAAGTAGCTCAAAGAAATCATTTTCAACTTTTTTTTTTTCCTCTTGAAATTTTTCAAAGCTGGAAAGATACTTATGTATTATCAAACAGCATCATTCTCTGTTAGATTATTTCCCTTTGAAAATTGAGGAAAAAATCTGAAAATGAATTTTAATCATCTTTATGTGATATCTACTTGGAGAGTTTATGGGAAATAACAGAAATCTGTGTTGAATTTCAACAGTAAATTGTTTAAGAAGGATAAGTCTTTTTTTAAATCTTTAAGTTTCTAATGTTTTGGAAACTTTGTTTTGGTACATCTAGATCATATTATAGCTACAATGAGACCGTACGTTGTAGAGTTATAGAATCACGTTTTGTTGTACAAGCAACTCTTAGTCTGAACTAACTAAAGGAATCACAGAGAACCTGTAAAGAAAGTAACACTGCAGGAGGAAGAGTAGTTTCTTTTGATAGGAAGTAATTGGTTCTTTCAGATTACAATCACTCCATAACGATCTTATTCTGTTCAAGTACATTGTTTATTTATGATAGAAACTAAAACGGAGTGTTGTTTATTATAAGTTTTAGAAAGATTTCTGAGTGTACCTTATAAACAATAGATGTTTGTTGTTAAACGCCCACACTTCACCATGGCCAAACATGAAATAAGATCCTATGATATAGAGCTGTAGAAGATGTTAATGTATAGGAATGTCTAGTAATTGAGGAAATTGAGCTTCTATTTACCTCCTCACAAACCATACCTACTCTTAGAATGCTGAAGCTTATAGAGGTAAACTAATAACGTATCATTGGGTTATAACTTCTAGACATGGACCTCATCTGTGGTCAATAACTGTCACATATCATATCTATGGAGACTAGAATTTATGTACAACTGTTTTGTATTTCTTAGAGACATAAATATCAGAAAACTTTGGAACCTTATTTCATTTCAAAAAGATATCATTCTCTCCACTACAGAATACCCAGTGGGGCAGCAAGGTTCAGTATTGAATACTAAAACTTCAAATGTTTGAAGCCATCAGGACTAAATGAAATGAAAAAGTGAAGAAAATGTGTTATATATTACTGTACAGAAGATACAATGATTATAAACAGGTTGTTTGAGTTATTGTCCATATTAGAAAGGTGTTTTATCCTTATAATTCCAGGCACAACACCACAGCTTAAATACAATTACGTACATCTCAACAGTTCCACGGACTGTTCTGCCATTCTGTTCAATCGTGTTAAAATCGGGCTTCTCAAAGGATTAATGTACCACTTGGAAATTCACATCAAATTTGAATCGGAAAATGCTTGTGGTCGCCTGTTTAATTTCCCAACCCTCGTTAAGTTTGCCATTGTCTCTAGGAAAGATTGCAGAAGACATAAATTTGTCTGTACTTTTAGCATTACTGAATCAAGAATTAATTACATAGTAAAATGACTCGTCCTGTTTTCCTACAATTTATTTTTCGCCATATAACTTACTTTTATCCTATATTTTGTTTTGAATCGTTGCAGACCATATTCAATTATAACACAGTGTTAATTATCTTGTTATTGTTTGGTGAATATAAACAGTGAATTAACATTAAGCATGGATGGAAGGTGATGAGAAATATGACGATAAGCCTTGGACTAAGGAGAGCCCAATCTGTGGCTGCATATGTTTGTGTTGAGGACTTAAGGAGACATGCTCTGATATCATTGAATGTCTAGCTAGTCTTAAAGTATTTTATGTGTGTCTCAGTTTCATCACACTAGAACCTCTCACTGTGTTCTTCTTTAGAAAGATATGATATAGTGTACATTAATGGTATAGAGTAGCATAGCGCCCACCCCAACTCCCCCCACCTCCCGATACAGGACACTTTGTAGTCTACATTATGTAGATATTAGTGGTTAACCATTTATCATATTTTGGTTATATATAATTTTATTGGTTGATCTGTGACCAAAAACAACCAGATTTGTCTAAAAAGAGTTATTAAAAATGCTGTTTAGATTTTGATTCGACTTAAGACTTTATTAGTGAACAGGGTAATTTCAATTTCCAAAAACAGGTTTTTATAAGTAACCCAAACATCCTCGAAATAACCTTTTGTTCATGATAGAAGGATCTGGGAAATCAGTCTGTCAGTCTTTCATGAACTCAATTCAACAGGTATGCCCAAATAACTAGAAATCCTTTGTAGTATGCAATATATTTTTAGGATTTTTGTTCCATTTACAAAGTGCTTTCATTCTGGTCTCTTTTTCAGGCTTGAATTGGCTCATCGTTGTTTCAGGTTAAATTCTATTCTGTTTTAAACCTCATGTAACTGATAAACAGTTATTTGATTAAAATCACTTGTAGTCAGTTGTGCATCAAAACATATTCTTCTTCTCATCATGCCAATAGATTCATGAATTTTAGAATTTTTGAAACATGAAGTTTTGAAAATATTTTCTTATATCTTTTTTCAAAGATGAAGAAATTTCCTTTTTTTCTATTTTAAAAGTCAAACTTTTAAAGTTAGACTAAAACTTGCTGTAGGTAACTTTTGACTCCTCTAGTGTCTTCTGAAATGAAAATGATATTTTAAGATTTGAAAATCAATTTAGATAAGTCTAAAGTGCATTTTTAACAGCATATTTATTTTGATACACTGGTCAGCATGTCTGCATGAATCAAGTAAGTACTGTAATGTGTTTGTCTCAATTTCTTTCAGTTTGATTACTGGAATCAGCGTTTTCTTTCTTTGTGGATCAAGTAACAGTTTATGTTTCTGGGTGGAGTAGTTTATAGAAAACGATTCTAGAAGGAGTCTATAGAATTGGCTGTACACGTCGTGTTACAGCTGAAGGGCGGATTATTTTACATAACATTCGCAGCTTGTGACCTAAATCTAGTAGAAACAGGCACGACGATTCCATAGGATACTTTGAGGTAAGAATTTTTGCAATTTTCCTTCAAATTTGTTTTTTCCGTCAAATGTCGTTTCTGGATATTGATGCCTCTTACATAGAACAAGATGTAAATTACATGCCTGCCATGTTTGTGTCAAATGTACGGGGCTGAAGAGTTGGAACTGGAGAGTTCTCTGTGGGAATCTGGAGTCTGCAGTCTGTCTATCTAATCCTGAAATACAAAACACTATTTTACATAAATATATCTTAAATTCAAAGAAATATTTTTGATAATGTTTCGGTTTATTATGTTCAGAATCTTCTAAATAAAAGAAAAGAGAGGAAATGTATAGCAATTTATTTGTTGCTTTAAGCTATTTGAATCTATATGAAAGTGTGTTTTGTTTTTTCCCTCCCCCCCCCCACCCCTCCCCACCCCTCCCCACCCCCTTTTTAAAATATATCAAAATCATAAATTGCACAGAAAGTTCCTGGATGAAATACAAGACATTTTGAAATAACAATGTTATTTTTTTACTCTACTTTTTGTGTGTTTGGATCATGTAACCATGGTTACTATCCTACAGGAAGTGAGGCCTGATTAGGTTATCTTGCAGTAGCACCGAGAGTTCAGGGCAAGGTAACCTCCTTAATCAGAAGACAATACAACAAATAAGCCGCGATGGCTCTATCATCCTCTTCATTCAGGGAAACCGTGGCCCAAATAAGACTGATCACGTTCAGTTTGAAGAATTAAACACCAAACAAATGAGTTCTGTTCTGACCTCCTGGTAAGAATCCTGATCAGACCAATTACATAGATAACAAAATAACTGCCCATGTGAAGAATTTTAGCACTCACATGTCTACAAAGTTTAATGTGCATTTAGTGTATTTTCTCATCTAAAGTTGATTACATTATAGGGACAGGTTCTGTATCTCTCTGTTTCATGTGCTCAACCTGTAATCATTTCTCATTATCTCATACTCTCATGAAGTCATTGAAAATACATCACATACTCATGTAAGCGTTCGGAGAATGATTTGCCATGAATTCTATTCCTGAAGGTTCTCGCGCCAAATCATATATTACCATTTGATCTCTGTTATAAGTCCGCGGGGAAATACATTACCTCCGACTTAAAAACGAAGGGATGGGCTTATTACAGATCATTGATATAGGACCTTTTAGTTTTGCTGCTTAACAGCAATAGATATGAATGGTCTAAATTACTAGGAATGTTTTTTTTTATAGGATAAATACTGAAATCTTTTTCTTCATAGGTATTTATTTATTGTCAAGGTTATATTTCCTGAACAAACCATGAACTGTGTTATCTTTCAAATGTTCCACTGTAATTATGATCCACAATTGTTTTTACCATCTTACCTTTTTTATTTAAAAGATTGTTTTTGAAAGTTTCTTGTGATTTTTGGTTTGAAAGTCAGAGTTGGTTGTTCCTTTTTCATAATATCTTGTGACCTTCAGCATCTTAACAGTAATGACCTCACAACTACAACGGTGTCCAGCTCAGTCAGATATTCTTATTTTTGTCTTTTAGTTGAAAATAAGTATCTCTATGATTCAGAACAGGTTTGTTTTTTGTGAATCTTAGTTTAGATTTAGTTTGAATTTTCTGTAAAATGATAACTTGAAATCAGGATCAGTGTTTTTTTTTTCTCTTTTCATATATGCCCTGAATGCGACAGTTTCTTCAATCATATAATTTGAGATACATAACAAGTCCGTGTTAATCTAATACAACCGAGTCTTTTCACCAGGAGTGATTTTTATTTTTCTGTTTTGTCTGAACATTACATTCTTGTAAGTACACTTGTAATGAATTCACAGAGAACTGTCGTCAGATGAATGCGGGACAGTTCATCGCCCAATCAGTCTCTCGTAGTCAGGCCATTATTTAAATCAAATTCAACATTTTTCAACAAAATTTAAACTCAGTGTTACGGCTTAATTTTAGACTTCTCTGTCAACTTGAGTTAACCTTTCTTCTTTTGACATTTACTGTTTAAAATTCTGCACATAAGGGTCACGATTGGTGAGGGTTTTCAGGAGCATGCTGGTGTGGTTGCCATGGAAACTAAGTGTCATTGGAATCATTTGATTGGAGGAGCTTGTCGCTTCCTTTAGAAAGGTTATTTGTCCTTAAGATGTTTTCATATTTTGTTTGGATAATGTTAAAAGTCAGATGGAAATAGGTAGGAAAATTATGAAATAAAATTCTTCTGTCCATGAAATTTTAGTTACTGAATCCAGGTGATTTAGTATCAATTATTATCCATATCATGTACACTGACCTTCTAGTTGTGGATTGGACCAATGTTTTTCTACAAAAGTATGAGCGTTCGACTGAGTGGACCAGTTGTAAACTTTGAGACCAGTCTTTCCCCACCATTAGACAAGTGTCCAGTTGTTAACTGACTGACCAGTCTTTCTCTACCATAAAACAAGTGTCCAGTTGTTACCTGACTGACCAGTCTTTCTCTACCAATAAAACAAGTGTCCAGTTGTTACCTGACTGACCAGTCTTTCTCTACCATAAAACAAGTGTCCAGTTGTTACCTGACTGACCTGTCTCTCTCTACCATAAAACTAATGGTCAGTGGGATGCAGACATCATGGCCTGATCCCTTAGTATGATCCATCACTGTACTTCAGGCAGACTTCACTAATTCATGAGATGCCTCACAGAAGCGGTTCTAGTCTCCCTGAGTGACCTTTATTACCAGCAATACTGTTACTTACTCCAATGAGATGTCAGTTTGAACTCTATGTCTGAAATGTCCAAGGACCTGTTGTGTGACGTGGTGAGAGTCACAGTCTGTCTAGTCTTTATACTAATTGGCCAGACTTGAATGTCATCGTGAAAGATGCTTTACATATTATGTTGTACTTTTTTTGGATGTTGGGATAATCAATTCACTGATGAAGTGTAGTGGTTTTGTTCTATTTATAGTGTTGTCAAAGGTCAAGGACATATGCTATATATATATCAGAGTTGTAAAGATATATTTTTAGGAACAGCAGGTTAAAAAAAATGTAGGTGAGTGACCTTCATATTAATACAGATGTAGGGCCAATGACCTTCAGGTTAATACAGATGTAGGGCGAATGACCTTCAGGGTAATACAGATGTAGGGCGAATGACCTTCAGAGTAATACAGATGTAGGGCGAATGACCTTCAGGTTAATACAGATGTAGGGCCAATGACCTTCATGTTAATACAGATGTAGGGCCAATGACCTTCAGGTTAATACAGATGTAGGGCGAATGACCTTCATGTTAATACAGATGTAGGGCGAATGACCTTCATGTTAATACAGATGTAGGGCGAATGACCTTCATGTTAATACAGATGTAGGGAGAATGACCTTCATGTTAATACAGATGTAGGGCCAATGACCTTCATGTTATTACAGATGTAGGGCCAATGACCTTCATGTTAATACAGATGTAGGCGAATGACCTTCAGGTTAATACAGATGTAGGGCGAATGACCTTCATGTTAATACAGATGTAGGGAGAATGACCTTCATGTTAATGCAGATGTAGGGCCAATGACCTTCATGTTAATACATATGTAGGGCCAAGGACCTTCATGTTAATACAGATATAGGGCGAATGACCTTCATGTTGATACAGATGTAGGAGGAGTGACCTTCATGTTAATAGATAAGTAGGGCCAATGACATTCAGCTTAATGTATATCTTGGGCAAGGGATGTTATTAATTGTGGAATCTATGATGGTATTAAAAATTTATTTTCTGTAGAACAGGAAACATTCTGATAGTTGCAAGATTTGTGTAAATCCCCTCTCTGACTTGAGAGGTATGTCAGTGGTCTGAAGCTGGTCAGTATGGCCTGACCTGAGAATCCCACTGTAACTGGTTTACTGCCAAGCTATCACAGTGGAGGTGGACCGATGGGCCATCCCTAATGGTATTGGTGATCTTAGGATAGCAATTCTCTTCAGGTCTAGGAGAATGGTCAACTTAATTTATTCTTAGGTTTTTTTTTTTTTTCTTTTTTTGATTTGTTTTGTAATCTCAGGGAATTTTTCATCATTCCTTTTGAAAGTTTTGTTAAAGCAAAATAGAAACAAGTTTGTTTGAATTATTTCAAAGATTTCAATGATTTTGTTTCTAGTAAGCAAATATTTTTGATAAAGCAAAAAATAGTTTGTAAATAATTTTGAAATTTCTTTGATAGATTAAAACTTTGCAGCTTTTTTCATGGAACTAAAGAGCTCCAGGCTGTCAGTATTTAGACTATCAGGCATTGCCCCAGACTTATCAGGACATGTTTGTTAACTGTCAGTTATGGATTAATCAGTTAACCTGTCAGGATAGCATTAGTACACAAACAAAACCAGAACTGCGGAAAAGACTTTGATAATGATCAAAATAAGAGACACCTTGTTAAAGTTGGAAACAGTTCATAATGAAATGTTAAAAACTATTTTAATGGTGTTGTGTGTGCTTCATCCATGGTCTGAAGGAGTTTATTACAAACTGTTTCTAATGCCACTGTCCTCCGTGGTCTATATTTACTGCCACAGTCCTCCTTTGTCCTATATCTAATGCCACAGTCCTCCATTGTCCTGTTTCTAATGCCACTGTCCTCCATGGTCTATATTTACGGCCACAGTCCTCCATTGTCCTGCTTCTTATGCTACTGTCCTCTGTGGTTTATATTTACTGCCACAGTCCTTCATTGTCCTGTTTCCTATGCCACTGTCCTCCATCTTCATTTTCCTATATCAAATGCCACAGTCCTCAATTGTCCTGTTTCTAATGCCACTGTCCTCCATTGTCCTGTTTTTAATGCCACAGTCATCCATTGTCCTATATCTAATGCCACTGTCCTCCGTGGTCTATATCTTATGCCACAGTCCTCCATTGTCCTGTTTCTAATGCCACTGTCCTCCATTTTCATTGGTTTGTATCTACCTCATGGTGTCCTCCAGGGTTGTGTTTAAAGTCAACTTCTTCCTAAGGCCAAGCAAAGTAGATTTTTGTT